CAAGGTCTCTAACCATCGGTTGCTATCATCTCGCGGATTCCAACCAGATAGTATACACATACCAACATGCCTCAGACCACTTGTCAGTGACTTCATGGATTTGTGCCATGCTTTGATCTGGCCACCCCTACCTTTCTTCCATTCTACTCCTACGCCAGAAAATATCGCATGTCGTGGCAGTCTGTGGTTGGGAATACGTAACACATGTCCCAGACATCTCAACTGATGAAGTTTCATTGCTTCATCAATTGATTCGTCATCCTTACCTAACAACCTTAATACTTACTCGGTGGTACCACGATATACGAGCAATTCTTCAAAGACATTTACGGTCGAATAATAGTAACCTTCGAATATCTCCTACTATTACAGGCCATGTTTCACAGCCATAAAGTAGGATGGAGCGAACTGCTACACAATAAACCTGTCCATTAGAAAGAGAAAAGAAAGGTACATGAAGAATTCAGAAGATTAGAATTCGGGAGAACGCAAAGAGTGGATGCACCCGCGCCATTGCAAACGATTTTGATTCATGTCACATTCATGGTCTCTAACCATCAGTTGCTATCGGTAATTTGTTTAAGATATCTGCAAAAAAATAGAAAACCAAGATCAATTCATAATCATGTATGTAATTCTTTGAATAGTTAACTACTGGTCATTATCGTAAATCTGTCACGGATCTATATCGGTCTAGATACTTAGAATAAACACCAGGAATATAACGAAGATATGGTGAAGAGATAAGACAGGGATTTGAGATAATAATGATATTAATCAAATAAAAGTCTAAAAAATTCCCATATTGTAATTTAGAACAACATAGATATAAGCGAACAATATTGTTTTCGACTAAATCCTCATCAGGCTTTACTCTAATATACAGTAATGTATACATGTATACACATACGAAATTATTAAACCAATCAAGGTAGTTTATGAGTCAATGATAACAACGGAAAAGATTATATAATAAGTGAAAAGTACAAATCGATAGTATGATGACAGGTGTACTAGTTGTGATAAGTAATATTAAAGTAGCTAAGTGGATAACGCGATGGCGTCTGGAGCAAACAATACTGGGTTCGAGTCTCAGGGTGAACATCAACTCTGAGATGCAGGTACATCCAGATGACGAGTTCCAAATAGGACGAAACGAGCGTAACACTGGATTCCACTACTAGCCACTATCCATCTTTGCTTAAAAAAGCTTGTGACTTAAATATCGAGGCGATACGCACAGTATGCACATATGCCAACATGAGGCTGATCAATTGCAGTCCTAAGTAATAATGGGAAGATTCAAGTAAACAATACCAACCGAATTAATATCTACACTTGGATATTTGTATGGAACTGATGTATTTTCAAAAGAAACTATCTGTAAATTCATAAAGCTATGAATCACAGGAGCTCTTGACTAATCAAAAATGGCCTCCATAATCATTGATTCTTATTATTTCAACATGTTTTTAGTTTGATCTATTTCATATTCTGAATTACAGTTGATCAATAAAAATATTCATTGTTTGTTAGTACTGTAGTAAACGAGAACAGAAGTGGTGAAAAGAACCATACAGTAAATACTTCATTTACAAAATGTCAATCAATCGTCTCAGACTTCATTGTTCTTGCATTACTATACCGATTGCTTTCCGTTTCCGTTCTTTCCTTCTAGAACTTCTGATGCTAGATATTTTATTCCTGATTAGCGTTATATACTACTTATGTCGACATAAATAGCACACATTACAGTGTGGGTAGATACTGAATAAGATGTCCTTAAAGTTTAGTTAATTACATAAATTGATGAAAAGTTTATGAGAAAAAACATGATTGCTAAAAATGTATATGAAATTTCTCATCACTTTCTGTTTGATAAAAGTTCTCATCTTATAACCTTACGTATGACCACTGGTTTATCTTAAATCATAATAATTTTACACATATTTACTTATCATTTGTATGATAAGCTTACAGATAAATTGCCTGAAGTTCTGTTGCAAGACCATAATACGCTTAGTTCAATAAGTATGAAACGAAGTAGATATTAGTGTTAATTGTTGAGTTTCCAAGTAATTAAATTAGTTATTGATTGAGAGCTTGAACCGACTGATGTTAGACCACCATTGAGAACCTAAGAGCACTGGACGGCCATTTCGTCCTATTGTGAGACTCCTCAACAATGCGCATCCACTATCCTGTTTGCGGGATTCGGACACAGGGCCTTCATTCTTGCGCGCGAATGGTTCAGCTACTTGATCACTGAGCCGGTATCCAACGGTGTTAATGTCTAACCTCAACCAATCCACAAAATCGCGCAACCATCTTCTATTGTACTGAAGTAGATATCTGTCTCTACCCGGCACGAAATAACATCACTGGTCACGGATTCTCACTAGAACTCCGAGAATTCCCTCACGAAGTTACTCACTAGTAAGCACATGGTAATTATCAGTATATGGTTGTGGAGATTATTAAGCTAATGATTGAGATCTTGAACCAATTGATGTTAGACCACCGTAGAAAACCTGAAACCACTGGAAGACCGTTTCGTCCTATTGTAGGACTCTTCCAAAACCCTATACTGAAGTCAATCCTATAGAGAAACAGCAGCTAACTGACGAGAACAGGTAATGGGTGCATTGTATCACAAATAAACGAAGCTTGAAAAAATAAAGAAAAACAAATAGAAACATCAAAGCTGAATAGTACTCTATATAATATTAGATTTGAGGTTTTTAGTTCTATCCTGCGTAAAGCCCTAAATGGATACTGTGGTGGTATTTTACACTCATTCAAAAATTGACTATTGCTTCCAGATTTTCAATGCTTCTTATTTAACTAATTTCCTTAAAAGTAGAACGGTTGTTGTTTATGTAAATAGTTTTAATGGTTCAGTTCATATCCATAGTTATCCGTTTTAAGTGTTCTGTTAGTTGAGATGTCTGGGACATGTGTTACGTATTCCCAACCACAGACTGCCACGACATGCGATATTTTCTGGCGTAGGAGTAGAATGGAAGAAAGGTAGGGGTGGCCAGATCAAGGCATGGCACAAATCCATGAAGTCACTGACAAGTGGTCTGAGGCATGTTGGTATGTGTATACTATCTGGTTGGAATCCGCGAGATGATAGCAACCGATGGTTAGAGACCTTGAATATCATGGCTCAAAATCGTTTGCGATGGCGCAGGTGCATCCACTCTTTGTGTTCTCTCGAATTCTAATCTTCTGAATTCTTCATGTCCCTTTTTATTCTCTTTTCAAATTTATTTCACTGGATTATACTCCCTAAATAACATCTTCAAACCCTAATCTTTCCGATTACTGCTTATACTCTTACTAACTCTACCACTATGGGATTTGAGTCGACAATTGTATCTTTGTGCTAATGTGGTATGGCAACTCTAACTGATTTACGTACATATGAACTTCTACGTTGTTACTGACTGACTGACTCTGTTAGTTACATTTGGTTGTTATTCTAGTTATCATCTTTTAAAATTAAATTAAATAAATTAATGTGAAAATTTTCAAGTTTTTCTGAAAGTATCTTAAACACATTTGCACTATAACCAGTATTATATAACAAACATACTTAATTATACCTGCTGCTTCTCATGAAGCAGCATAAGCTAATCCCTGGCATTCTCCATTCAACTTTGTCCTGTACAATCTTTTCCCGCTGTGATTCATTCTACTCATATCTGCTTCCAATTCTTTATGAAGTGCGTCCTTTAACTTTCCTCTTTTCGATTTTGTTTCAGGATTCTAAGTTAGTGCATCAGTAATAGCATTCAAGCAAATAACGAAACATAACAGTTTCATGGTACAGTTTGATGATTTCTCCAATGTGTTTTCTATCCACTTTCAACAACTTTTCCTAATTACTTCTTCAGATGGAAATTAGTTTGCTTTTTCTAACAGTAGGTTGTTGCTGATGGTGTACAACTAACAGACATGAGTATCTTACGTAGATAATTGTCTACAAATACTTGTACTCTTTTGATAATGGTTATAGTAGTTCTCCGAATTTCAGCTCCGTGCAATATAACTCACTGTCTTGAAGTTCGTATTGAAGATTGTGACTTGGGTATTGGTTGACAGACAATTATTTTGTGTTCCATCTGTTCATTAACTATAAAAATACTTTCAATAGTTGAAAACATGAGTCAATTGAAGCTAGACCACCATGGTAAACCTGAAAACACTTGACGGCCATTGAATGTTTAGGCGTTCACGTGAGACTGATAAGCCATGCGTTCGAATCCCGCAGGGGGAGCGGGATCGTGGGTACGCACTGTTGACGAGTCCCTTACTAGGACGAACCGGCCGTTCAGTGCTTCCAGGTTTTCTATGATCGTCTAGCCTTCAATTGACTCATGATTTCAACCATTGAAATTACTAAAATCTCTACAAAACCCCTTGTGATTCTTAAAATACTGTCATTACTTAGCTAACCCTTACCTTTAAACTAACAAAACTATCCCAAATAATATTCTCCAATCAAAATTTTTATTCTAACCCTCTATTAAAATCTATCATTTTATAATAATCAATAAATAACCAATAAAAACAAACAAAACTTTGATTTGATTGGTTATTTACAAGGCTAAATTATTTCCCTAATTCTGATTGGCTGATCATAGATGAATATATAATTAAAAAAATTGATTGAAACTTTGATTTGATTGGTTATTTACAAGGCTAAATTATTCCCCTCATTCTGATTGGCTGATCATAGATAATTATTTTTTTTCAAAATAAAGATGAAGTATATAGCAACGTGACTAGTAACAACTGTAATACAAATAGGATTTAAACAGTAAATTCATCGTTGATGTTGGTACGGTATTTGACTTCATAAAATGAACATGTATATCATTCATTTGTATTTTATGGATTATTATTATTATTATCGTCATCATCATAAATTTCATAAATGAACATTATCCATATTATTATAATACAAATTCAATCATTTAAATTTGGAAATTATGCTTGCTAATGGTGAATATGTAGATGGTTCATGGTTATTATCAATCTATATACATGATTTAAATATTCAACGTGATATACGTGTACATGGTGAATGGTCTATTAATGAATTAATTACACAATTAATTGATGGTTTAATATGTCCCCAAAGGAAATTATTACAATCCAATGAAATAAGTTTACATTCTAATCATATTAAAATGAATTGGGAAGATTATGGTTTATGGTGGCCAATAAAATCCAAATGGTTATTAAAAACTAAATTAAGTTTAAATCAATATGGTTTACAAGCAGATGCTAAATTACATTTTTTATCCATATATGGACAATTAAATATACAATTACCCGATTTACAAATACGTAAATTTATTGATATCAATTTTGCTGAACCAGTTTATCGTGTTACATTATCTATATGTCATTATTTAAATATAAGACATTCAGAAGAATTATCATTAGGTTATCCTATTCAACAGAATGATTTAAAACATTCACGTTTTATACCAAATTCTATAAATAAACATGATCAGACATTATTGAATACAAAGAAATATTCAACATTTCAACGTAGTGCTACTATAAATACAACACATTCACAATATAAAACATTACATAAAGAATCATTATTTCAAATGAATAATGAAATGAATATAAATCAATCTCAACAACAAGATGATGAAGGATCTATGAAAAGTTCTATATTATCAAAACATTCAATTCAATTATATGGTCCACCAATAATACGTGATAAACGTCATCATTATTATTCTATAAGACATAATTCAAGAAATTCGAATCATCAAACAACCTTATCATCAATTCCATTTAATTTACGTATTGTAGATGATCCATCATTAATTTATAGTCCGATTATTCATATAGATGAGGCTATACAAAATCATTTAATTGTAAGACCAAATAATTATATACAACGTATACGGTTAAATACAATATGGTTAGATTCATCTAAATCATTATTAGAACAAGGTATAACTATGTTAGGGTATAATCCTTCCTCTTCTATTTCTTCGTCTTCTATGAATCGACCTAATTCATCAGGACAAGTACAAAATGATGAATATACAAAGTTATCAAATAGCAACAAAGATAATAATACAATACCAACATTAATTCTACGTTATAAATATGGTATCTATTATGATTTAAATATAAAATATGATTTAATACGTATTAATCAATTATATGAACAAGCGAAATGGTCAATTCTATCAGAAATTTATGATGTAACAGATGAAGAAGCATGTTTATTTGCTGCATTACAATGTCAAGTATGTGATCATGAATACTATTTTATAATATTCATTTATTTATGGATACTATGATACTACTAGGTTACTCAAATTAAAATAGGTGATTTTCTCATGTACGATGGTGGTGGGGGGTTCATACACCTGGAGATTTCGATATAAACATCTAATCAACAAATTAGTGGAGTAACGTCAGGAGATACAGTCATATGGTAGCCAGTGATCAATAATTGGTTCATACTCGATTTGTTCCTTCAAGATCTTAGAGCCCAGGTATATGATTGGCTTAGAATGAGAGTTTTTTTCAACTCCCCTAGGTGTATCCTCTATATCTACTAATCCAGTTAAAGTGCCAGACATTCGCTTCTTGTCTTTTCAATTTCGTAAACAATATCCTTGCCATAAAAATTCAGTGAAGATTAGTTTCGTTAAATATAATCATATGTTAATTGAAGTAGACTATACTGTAATGATAAGTATTACAATGTCAAATATGTAATGATTACTATCTTTTCATAATATTGATTTATTTATGTATCTTAAAAAGGGATTCAATGAAATATTCAAAATACTTTTTATAAAATCATAGAAATGTGAACATATTGAGAAGGAGGAGGGGTTGCCTAATTGCTTAAAGCGAAACAAGTGGTTTTTTTTAAAGGGCCCCACGCCCAAAGACTTCGACATAAAGGACTATTCCAGTGGAGCAACGTCAGGAGATACAATCACATGTTAGCTGATGATCAATAATTGTTTCATACGCCATTTGTTCCTTCAGGATCCTAGAGCCCATGTACGTGATTGGTTTAGAATGAGGGTTTTTCACCTCTCATACGTGGATCCTTCATATCCATCAACCCTGTTAAATCATTGGATATTCGCTTTTCGTCCTCTGAATTTTGTAAACAACACCCCCGTCACAAGAAGGCAATGAAAATGAGTCACGTGAAATACGATCATATGTTAATGGAAAGTAGACTGTTCTATAAGGATACATTTGTCAGAATGGGTTTTGTGGAGATTTTAGAAATTTCACAGATTGAAATCATGAGTCAGTTGAAGCTAGACCACCATTGAAAACCTGGAAGCACTGGACGGCCGTTTCGTCCTAGTATGGGACTCCTCAGCAGTGCGCATCCACGATCCCGCACCACATTTGTTTGGAAACCTCTAAATGTTAATTAGACATCTGTTCATTCTTATTTTATTATTCATTATCCATAGATTTTGTTGCAATGATTTTTTAAAATAAAGATTGTTGTTTATGTACTCACTTACTAAATACAAATCTGTGTATTTGATTTGGAGTAACAGAGACTACTGATATTACTCAACTGCTCAAACTGAAATTTGTAAAGTGATGTTTGAGATTGAAACCTACTTGTTAAAAGCTGAATGCTTTGAATGATGAATGATACCATGATGATAACACTGATAGTAGGCACTTATAAGTAAATATAATCGTTGAATAATTACTGTTTAAAAAAACATTTTACATAAGTTGGATGACTGTAGAACAGAGAACTTTATATAATTTGTGTTAAGAATTGTTGATAGTAACTAAGCATATCTCTTTAAATAGAGTTTGCTTTATTATTACTACTGATTAAATCAATAACTAAATTACAGACTTTCTTTGAGATGGTGGAGAAGATTCGTAGCTCAGATGGATGATTTTTTATAGTTTTTTTCTGAGCTAGATTGTTTGGTTGTAAAGCTTTCATCGTTCTTCTGAATAACATCATCAGCACAAACTTCAGATAAAAGTCTGAAGTCTGGAGTTTGTGCCGATGATGTTGTTCAGAAGACTGATGAAAGCTCCATAACTAAATCATCCAGCTCATAGAACAAAACTCCATCAAAAACTTTCCTTATTAAAATCATAATACAATAACAGTTCCATTGTCTTAGCAATTTCATAATAAAGTTATCACAACAGAAATTGTTCATTTCGACTCATTCAAATCGACAATAGTTTGGATTGATCAGTAGAAGTTAATAACCGATGCATCATTGCCCTTTTTTAATTAATTAATATGCATAATTTATACAATTGGATTTAAATGTACTTTATAGTTGTGTAGAGTGATGAAACTGTTACTTCCATATATCTTCAGAAAAATTAGTCAGCTTCCCAATCTGTATGCATAATAGGTAAACTTCTCTAGATAAATATTTTTATTCGTATTATTCAGTTTATAGGTGTAGTTAGAAAAAAATTCCATAAGATTAGTCTGAAAACATTTCAATGTATTTACACAATACACAATGTGAACTGTCTAGTCGTACATAGTATATAGTATAGGAGTTGGACTTTTACTGGGAGATTCATTTGTTGAATTAGAATATGCCGATGACATAGTTCTGTTTGATGAAGACGCCGACAAAATACAGAGTCTTCTGACCACTATAAGCAACAAAGCAAGCATGTTCGGGATGCGATTCTTCCCTTCGAAATGCAAAGTGTTACTTCAGGATTGGGTTGCACCGACACCTAAACTAATGATAATGAGTGACGTAGTTGAGCGTGTCGACCGCTTCACTTATCTTGGGAGTCTCATCAGCCCTTGTGGTCTGGTGTGTGACGAAATCTCATCATGGATACAAAAGGCTCGACTAGCTTTTGCCAACTTGCGTCATTGATGGCGTAGAAGAGATATCCGTCTACCAATCAAAGGACGTGTTTACTGCTCAGCAATTCGTTCCGTCCTACTTTCTGGCTGTGAAGCATGGCCGGTAAGAGTAGAGGATATTCGAAGGTTACTATTATTCGACCGTAAGTGTCGTTTATATCCTGGGACCACCGAGTAAGGAACGAGGTTGTTAGGGAATGGGTACTAAGTAAGGATGACAAATCAATTGATGATGTCTGGGACATGTGTTACGTATGCCCAACCAGCGACTGCACCGACGTGCGATATTTCATGGTGTAGGAGTAGGATGGAAGAAAGGTAGGGCCGGCCAGACCAAAACATGGCACAAATCCATGAAGTCACTGACAAGTGGTCTGAGCCATGTTGGTATGTGTATACTATCTGCTTTGGATCCGTGAGACGATAGTACAGGACTATTTAACAGTGTACATCTACGATTCTGTTAGCGATCAAAAATATGAAATCTTAGTTTCACAACCTATGGTTATGATTAGATTTATTTTTAAACCATTTTGATTTAATAATCAGATTAGATCCAATGAATTCAGTTTCTTCAGAAAAGGTTTAAAGTAATGAGAATTTGCTTTTAGCCATCTAAAATACACTAGGATTAATTTATAACTAGAGATTCTTTAAGGTTAAGCATTTATTTGTAACAATTTGTACATTGAAAAATGTGAACGTAAATTTTCACCGACTGAGATGGTTGAGCCACGTGTTACGTATGCCTGAACACCAACTACCACGACGCGCAATGCTGAATAGCGTTGGGGATGATTGGAGGAAAGTTAGGGACGGCTAAACCAAAACGTGGCATCAGTTATTGAAGTCACTAACTTCTGGTCTGAACCATGTTGGTAGATGCAGACTACCTGGTTGGGATCCGCATGACTATCGTAACCAATGGTTGGCTTAGAATCGATAACAATGGCATAGGTGTATACGCTCTCTGTCTTCCCTTAAACTAAGAGATTAAAATCACTTCATATCTTTCTTTCTACGAACTAATTCTTTCTTCCTGTACTACATCCTTACAGACAACCTTTCTTTTATATATTACTTCCATTGAAGTAACTAGTTCTATGAATTTGGTATTCATCTTGTGCTAATGAGATGTGGCAATTTGGATCGATGCATATGTGTACCTGGTTCTACGTTGTAGCCAACCAACCGACTGACATCACAAATCAAATTCTCTTATATCTATCTGGCTTTAAATGAATATTATTATCAAATTTTCGGGTCTTTTTTTGGACATTACGATTTCAGTTACGTTTTTTTATTCATTACACCAAATGTTCCACTAATCACAATTACACATTCACTTAGAATAAACCATGCATTCTCATGTCGGTAGAATTACAGATAGTCTATAAATGTATTTGTACTGAATAGAAGGTATTAACGAAACTATTTTGTAGTTCTATTGTGAATTTCTTTCAGGTATTTGCTTATGATTTATATGATAAACGATAATTAGTTTGTGCTTTCTAGTGTATACATATGTGCATATATTCATGCGCTTATAAAAGAATATAGTCACGTAAACTGGCCGTACACATACACTTATTTATTTATTTATTTGAACATGTAAATATTCATACAAAGGGGCACCGAATACCTATACGTCACATAAGTCACTCGATTTGTGTGTGGGCAATGATACTACCCGAGAGACCAAACCAAAACAGGTGGTTTTCTAAGAGGTTCAGTCACCGAGCCTTTGGCCTAAAGGTCTAATCCACAAGGCAGTCGGGGACTGTTACGATATGTAGTTTCATAGTAGCCGGTGACCAACAATAAGATCACAGGCCATTTGTTCTTTCAGGATCCTGGAGCTCATGTACACCATTGGTTTGGAACCAGGGTTTTCCAACTTTCTAGGTGGATCCTCCATATTCACCAATCTGGTTAGAGTGCCGGAGATTCGCTTTTCGTCCTCTTAATTTCGTAAACAACACCCTTGTCACGAGAAGGCAGTTAGTAGGGCTTCCCTGACAATGGTTGTATGCACGTGGCCATTTGAGAGTATTTCGAAAGAGAGAGCTAACTCTCCCCACCCTCGTCCGTACCAGGGCATTTGGGGGCGCTCACATACATGGACTAGCTTTTTAGTTTAAGTATTTCTAAGAAACGTAATATATAATTGCTTAGTTATGTGAATATAACTTCATACAATGTATTACCATTTATTTGGTAATTAGCATTCATTATTTTAACTGATTTTTTTAGTAATATTATCAGACATTTTTGTATTTTTATAAAAAAATCAAGAATGTCATTTTTTTGGTTGAGATCATGAACCGATCGATGTTTGATCACCATTGAAAACCTGGAAGCACTGGATGACCGTTTCGTCCTATAGTG